ACCCCCCCCCCCCCAACCTCTTTTCTGAGAAGGCAACAAAAAATCCCTGATCGGTAGGACATAGTCCATAGAACACAAAGTTCTAAACTTTTAAAATAAAAAAAGAGACAGCCGTGCTGTTGTAATCTAAATGACAAAAAAAAAGGGCAATGGAACTCGTTCTGCTGTATATAAAAGATGGAAGTCAAGATTACTAGACCACTGAGTGAGTTAACTGTACTGGAGTCTGGAAAAGTGCACAATTGTAATTGAATGATAAATCATTGGCATGCGAAAAACGATTCTGAGAGGAGACCACAGTCTGTTAACCCTGCATAGCTAAGTATATCTTAAGATATTTATATTGCTGTAAGTAAATAATACGACGGTAGGATAAATTATTTTTGGCCAGAACCATTGCATTTATTACATTATTATATTATTATAGTAGTATTTTCTATGTACACAACACATAAAATATATTTTGTTATTCCGCATAACTTTTGAGTCGATGCTGACTACCATATGACGGTATAAATAAGTTAACTGTGTAAATTGGCTATAGCTTAAAATATATCTAAATATTTTGAAAACTCCATTGTGTATAGTAAAGTATAATGATGTAGGTAAGTAAAAGTTTCTCAAGTCCCCGCGATTAATATTTTTGAATTACAACGAAATAACTAAAATCATTATTTTTCATTTGAATTTTATTTAGTTAAAATTTTAACATAAAATGTCTATATAAAAGTTGTGCATGTCTACTTTTAAAATTTGTTGGTTTCATTAATAACTACTTATTAAGAACTTTTAATTACATAATATTTAAGCCTTAGCTATTATAATTGAGAATCTTATACATTTTTAACTATATATAATAGTTTTCAGATTTTGGAGATTTTGATGAATTGTGTCGATATTTGAACTTCAAATGCATACAATAAAAAATTGCCCTGTGTATTTTTAATATTTTTAACCTGCTATAAGAATAATTTTATATTAGTATAACTCTACATTTCAGTTTTTATCGGTTATTATGATAGTTAATATTATACAAATTAATTATATTACGCAACACCTGTTTTTAGAAATTAACAAATGTTGCCAAAAACAGAAACCCTTTGATGTAAAATTATGTTTAACGCTTTTGTCGTGAGACGCGATAATGTCTCTTGAAACACTAACATTGTATCGCCAGTTTGGATTATGTTGTGGAATATAATCCACATTGTCTCCTATTTGTCTCAGATTTGTCAAGACACAGCATTTTGCTGTTTAGTAGTCAGCTTGGAGTAATCCCGACAAAACGTGCAACAATTTAAAAAAAAACAGCAGTAGAGAGCTACTTTTATTTTGGAAGTAGCTTTAATGTTAGTTAAATAAATGAACAAAATTACGTGAAGTTTTTCCGTTATGCACCTTATGGGTTCACATCAATATTTTATTGAGAGCTATACTATATATTTTTAAGTTCATAAATATTCCGATACACAAACAAAATTGTGATGGTGAACTGGGTTCAATAATTTATTGATACTGCAATGATATTATGTTTCAAAATATTTTTTATATATATTTATGATGAATATTATGAAAATATATAGTCATCAGTTAGTATAAAATATACATCTTGACGTATAATAAAGAAGTTAACCATATTTTATTTTATATTACTTTGAAATTATCTGATGTTAGGATATCCTTTTTTGATATTATACGTGTTTTGACTTATAATATGTAAATATTTAAATAATTATGTAAAATAATACTAAAAATTATAAAAACCGAAAAATCACTCAACACAAATCAGACACTGAAATAATTCTGATGGTGGTGAATTATTACAGTAATAATATTATTAAAACCATTTTAAATCTAAAAAAAATAACATAAATAATTTGTTGCACTTAAGCAAAAACTATAACGCTATAGGTACGTCTAATATGTGGTATGGCAAAGAGAGTAATCGAAAGATTGCTGCCTCTGAGCAAATGGAATGCATGTGTGATCGTGCAGGGTGATTGACAGACGACAGAGCTAAAAATATTACTGCAGACGAATAATTTTCAAGACGAAGTTCGATATTGTTTTAAACGAATGACTTGTTAGAGTCTTTATCGGGTTTTGGGTGAGTATAGTGTACACTTGCTTCTGAAAAATTAAAGTTTGCCTCCCCCCCTCCCCCCACACACACAAACTAAATTTAAAAAAATGTATCAAAAAAGATAAACGTGTAGAAACGTCACATAATAGTTTAGATCGTATATGTAGTTGAATAAAAATATTTAGTGTCAGATTTTAAGGCAGCTAATTATATAATATGTTTACAAACTAGACTAGATTTAACTGATTTCTGTATGCTAACAAACGGAATAAGAAAAATAAGACAACGCGTGGAAAAAATTTTTAAATAAATATTGAAAATATAGGAGGAGACCAATAAAATACAACGTTGATAAAATCAACGAATTTCCTTTCGGCTATTAAACTAAACATATTAATACAAAACAAGACCGAATCAGATAATTATGTATTAGAAGGTCGAAAAACCCTATAAAACCAAACCATAAACATAACTATTTAATAATAAAAATTGTATTTTATCTTTTAAAGAATAAAGATAGAATAATTAAAATTAAACTTAATAATAGATATGGATAATTACACTTAAATTATAATAAACACGACGCCACGTGCCCACGTGACATTTTATGATTATATACATTACATACTAAGCCAATTATAGCTAGTAGTGGCTAAATAACAGAACCTATATTATGTATAAATTGTTAAATTATTTATATAAAAAATAAACAAGTGATCTAGACTTTTTTATATTTTACCAAACACAATCATAATACCTAAGATTCATAGGTACCTATGCACTTTATTCATTACCACATAACTGAGAATGCCTTACTTAGTTATACATCACCGTTTAATAAATAAAGAATATTTAACTTTTTTTATAATTATTTTTTAATGATTTGTGTGGAATATGTATTTATATTTTATACCTTATAAACAAAATATCGATTATATATCTATTGTATTATATGAAAAAATAACTTTATATTTAGCCACTGTGTTCTCTGACGGGCTTCGTTCAACTAATCACTTAAAAATTTGAAATCCTCTTCCGTGAAAAAAAATTAAATTTTTGTGTCGTTTTCATAAAATAAACAAAAAGCGTTAGTGTTTAATACGAGATTAAGAAAAAAAACAAGGGTCGGTACCTATATACATTTGAAATGCTTCAAGACGGAATCTTAAGATCTAAGTTTATAACGAATGCTATATGTTTAACATTTGACTAAAAGGTTTTCATACTAAACACGGCTTTCTTTTCTTTACTTGAAAAAATATAATAAAGGTTTAACCTAACCTTCTTTTTTCAAGAATAACTATAATATTACACCATTATAAACCATTAGAACATATGGCGACAATAGAATAAAGTATAATATATAAAATATCTGCAATGTCTAACCTAACCAACATTTCAAAATTATCAACATTTTAAAGATTTTAGTAGAATTTTATTCATACCTAATCCATTATCCAAGCTTATTATAGCTAATAAATATTGAGAAAGAATATCAAACTCAAAAACTTTGAATTTTTTGAATAGCAATCTGATTTGACATTGTTGATAAGACTCCAAATCCTCCAAAAACCCACAAATCAATCACACAATGAATACATTTATTTTTAATAAACATAAAATATTAGTTACAGCTTTCAGAAAAATATATGTGTTATACATGACCGATCCCTATGCAAAATACCCACAACAAATCATCACAGATGATTAATTTATAAAACTTTGTTTTTAATTTTATTAAACGGAAATTTATGAAATAAACTATAAATTCAAATAAATATTTAATTTATTTTGTACTTTACTGATATATTATTTTTAAAAAATGAATGCACTTTCCTGTGCTTAATCTTAAGTAGGCTGTGGGTAGGTTCAAGAGTCAAACTATATATAGACAAAATATTTATATTTCTAAACAGTCAAATCTAATAAAAGTTTTACAATTTTCGATTTCTAACAAATTTAAAGAGTTTAAAGAATATAATGTATGGGCCGTTGAGTCTAAAACTTGAAAGTCACTATTAAGAATTTTATGAGACATAAATTATGAAAAACATATCACAATATTCCTTAAAAATCGTAACGAAATAAACTATAGTTTGTAAACACGAAATATTCTTAGTATCATTTTAGATTTTACAAAAGAATAGCATAGAACTTTAATGGTTTTATTTTTAACTTTGAAAACATTTTTAATCATAAAATAAAACACTGATATAATAAAACTACCATGTTTATTGCTTTCTTGCATTTATTCAGACTTAAATCATTAATGATCAGATTAAAATAATGATTCTACTCTCTAGATAAATATAATCCCTAAACCTTTTTGTTCTATCAAATATGTACCAACCTAATAAAAATCATATTTTAAACATCAACAAAAACTATGTCTAGACCCCAAGGCGCTACAAGCATGATTAATCAAGCTAAATTGTCTCATTAGCTTCAAGTTTACGTGTTACAATTAAGTGTGATAATTATTATCTGCGAGTGTTTTTCAATATAAGAAAAGAATAGATAATCTACAACAAGAAAATACTTGATTATGTGATCTTTTTAACACATTTTTTTATGCGTAAATTTGTCAATCATTGCAAACGAAAATCAATTATATTGAAAATCAGTTCATTATAAAAATTGTCAATGGGTTGGTAAAAAAAAAGTACAGCCTGTAATCATATTTTTAACTTTGAAATGTCCATCTGCCCTACTCCCTTTTCACTGTCCGCTGTCAATTACTGAAACTTGATATTACCTATATTATTATTAAACTCATTTAAACTGACGCATGCAATAAATTTAATTTTCTCCATAATAAATATTTTACAAGATTTATTTTGAGAAAATTTGTAATATTACTACACGTACCAAGTTTAACAGCGAAGTGCGAACTATTATTATGGAGTTTTAATTGCAGGATATTTCATTCAAGGACATTCCATATGAAGCGTGAAAATGAACAAAATAATATCTTTATCAGATTTTTGGTCTCCCAAATTTCTCCCTAAATGTATTTTAAATAAAATCGTATGCAAAGGTACAGAGAATCCAATGGTTTGGACACACAATGAGACTAGAGGAAACAAATGAAGTTAGAGCAGCAATTGAATACAAACCAACAGGCAGAAGACCCAGAGGCAGACCCAAGAAACGATGGATAAAGTGCAACAAGATCTTGAAAAGCTAGAAGTAACAGATTGGGAGGAAAGGATACAGGATCAGAAAAAGAAAAAGAAAAATCTTATGTTTACCGGACAACGATATTTTCAGAAAGCTCTACAGTCTATACATAATGGTATCAGCAACTAACAATATCACCTCCACAATCACAATTTTGGGGCGTTTCTTTCATACGTGGTCCCGGTACAAGAGCAGAATGCCGCTTAGCACCCTTGTTGAACATTAACCGACAACATTTTCATTTCTATTAGACATTGTACTAGGTACTAAATCTTACGATATACATAATATATAGGTCATATATTTTGTTTTCAACCCAAAGACTTTATTTCAGACCACTACGTGCCGGAGTAGTGATGTAGCTTGTAGGATTCTAAAATCGTAAAATCGATTTCAAACGTTGCCTAAGCGGTGGCGCGAAACTATAATAAAAATATGTGCATGGCAAGACGTGAAATACGGAAACCGATATCATGAGTGTACGAAGAAAATAACAAGCTTTTGGTGAAGGCGAAACATCACGACCGAAGTTCAGCGAAACCAAAACGTTCAAACGAGCACAAATGTACAAATGTGTCAAATTTTGTTTTGCCTATTTTATCTTGACCAATGACGACTCGACGTAAAAGGTTGTGAATAACTTGTGATACATGAGTTCGTATTAAAATTATTTTTTTTTCGTTCTACTTTGATATTATACATATACTTATACGTATAAGCTTAAACGTATGCCTTAAATAATTGTCACAGACGGCGACTATGTATTATTGTTAATAAAAAAATTGCCTTAAACGTCAACATTAAAATATTTATTATTATGTTTCTTGTTTAATATTTAATTATTCAAATAATGAGAAAATAAAATATAATGCATCTGTATATACGTCTGAGGTCTAACAGACGTATACAAAATATCATGACCAGATTACCAATAGGGACTAAGCATCATAAAGCATCATAAAACATTCAACACAAGGCTTTCGAATTATTTGTGACTTACCTTGTCAAAAGTTAAAAGTATACTTGAGAGTAATTTTTAAACAAAAATAAATAAATCAAAACGGAAGTTTAATATAGTAATCCCCCTATTCTCTACAAGGAATAATTTTTTACAATTACATTAATTTAAACTAATATATTTCATTATTATTTCTGGTTGAATTGTAACAAAATAGTTTAAATTATTATTTTTCGTATATTATAAGCCAATATCACGATCAATTAAGAAAGTAATACCTAAATAGACAATCAATTATTTACTGTACCTCGGTATCGAATTATTTTCTTTTTTCTCCTTATATCGATCAAGTCAGTTTCCGATTACTTCATGGCGTTATTCTAATAGGTACTATATCTTATGTTCAACTACAGCTATAAATCCTTTATTGCCCCATTTTTCTCGCAATCTCGGTATTTAGACGGGTCTGTTAAATTTTGATTTTTCATTTACACTTTATTTTGTTTCTTCATAGAGTTAATATTTGAATGATATAATGCTTATGTAGATAAAAATTGTTTTCTATTTCATATTTGTACAAACAATAATAATAATATTATGCATTTCCAGTCTTACGATATTTTGAAAATTTGTATAATTTAACTTAATTTCATTTTAATACTTACTTTAAGCATAAAAAAGTAACTTTTGAGATGGATGATAAATACATTGTCATCAAAAGTTCTGTACCTATGTGTTGTAAAGATTTTAGATAAAGTTTTCATAAAAAAAAGAGAGAGGGAAGGATTAACCTATTATAAACTAACCTAGATTTCCCATTTGAACTGAGTTTAGTATTCTTACTGAAACATTTTTCAACCAATGATAAAATTTTAAGAACCATAAAATGCGTCTTCTTTTATAAATTCATATTATTCTATATTAATTTTGTTTATTATACCTTTCATACTTGTTTGAACATGTTCCAACAAAAATCAATTTTATGTTAAGATATAATTTTTTTAAAGTATTTAGGAGCTCAAAGTGTGAAAAAAAATTATGGGGTGTTGTGCCGCAGTTCAACGTTAAACCTGTGTGTACTTAAAAGTTTGCATAAAAAATTCTTCAAAAATATTCAAAAGTTATTTATTATATATCGTTAAAACTAATTATAAATACAATTTCTTAATTATTTGTATAAAAAAAACAGTATTTAACCTTTTACGTTCATACATTTTATAAAAACATTGTGAAAACGTTTGTCAAATTCTCATTCCAATTGCCTAACCCTTGTGTAGGAATACACTAGGAACGTATTATCTAATTTTTGTCACCTTGATAGGAACTAAGGTACTATATTTTATGTTTTACCTGTAAGACTCGTGTAAAAACTTAGTATTTCTCCATTGTTGAATCAAAAATACACGATATAAACAAATATAAACATACTGAAATGTAAACATTGTAGTATACTCTAAACAAAAACGGTAGAAATAACTCTGAAATTGATTAAACGATGAAATTCTTTGTTTATTTAAAAAAATGCTTCGTTTATAAAACCAACAAAAAATAATGTGAGCATTATACTATAGATCTCCATGCTATAGACAAATTAAATTAAAAAAGATTTTAAATTGCATAAAAATATGCATATTATATAGCGGTAGTAAAAATGGTCAGCCTTAAATTGTCTCTGTGTTTCATTTATACGTGTATTCCATTTCCCCCATACGTGAATAAGTGAAATGCATAACGGTGCACTGTTTAACATACCTGATAGAACGCGTTAGGAATAATTAAAAAAAAATAATAACCTTTCTGAATCAGTTTAATAAGACCCGTCTAAATCAAATAATATTTTGCGATAACAATATTTACGTTATCGTGACACAAGAATATAATACGATAATACTTCAGACCGTCGGTGGATAATATATTTCCGGTCGGGCGAAAAAATGTTACAAAACTATTATGTTTCAATACGGCACAAACTATCATGCTACCTAACTCGGTGGATACCCGCAGGAGCGTTGCGTCGTACTTACTATTCTAAGAACGAACGCCGTTCGTGATGCGGTCCGCCGTGACGGCGGTGATATGTGGCAACTCGCCGAGTTTTTCGAAACCGAAAAACGATTTAAAGCAATGGGTCGATGTTTCGATACAATAAACATTCGAAAGTGCATACCTACAATAGTCATTAAGTATATGAAATTAAAATTTGAAATCTCGCTAAACAAGAACTGCAGAAAAACAAAATATTAAAAAAAAAAATCAAAACATATTATTATACATAGAACTAAAAAAATCTAATGTTTTTTTTACACTGTTCATAATATATAGATCTACTTGACAAAATAAATAATTGATGAACATTTTCAATAATATGAATTGTTACATAAAATGAACCTAAAATTCTTTGGTGGGATTCGAAACAAAGTCTCCGATAAAATTTTCTAGCACAATAACCCAACAAATTCATTTTTGTTAGATTGGGAATTTATTGAAATTTCGTTGATATATTTGGACTTCAAGCTGATATTTTGCATTAAAAATTAAAATGATTAGTTGATTGTTCTTTAACTAAATATGCTTTCCCAGGAGTATTATTTTATAAATATGCATATCGCATTCAGTAATTTAATAAATGGTAATTCTGAAAAAAACATTTTTATTACCTGTATACATACAAAGTGGATATAATATAATATATAGAACCTGTACATGTTCGGCCGCAAACCGACTTTACATACAACTATTAATAAACGGTGGAAGCATCCATTTTTCTGAACCATATTTTGATCGAATTTTCAACTAGGTAGTTAACCATATTCCATATAACAATAAGGAAGTGATAAGTAGGTACATAATAATATAATACTATAAATATTATACTAAATTCGAATAGCAGGGTATACTCAATATTTATTTTATCAAACACTTAAATTAATTTTGGCTCAACAAAAAATATTATTAAAAGAAATTTCAATTTAAAAATTATCTCATAAGATTTTCCCTTAGAGTTAGATTACTGATTACATGATACTATGGGAGAATAAGGCGTTCGAAATGTTAAACAAAATAAAATAGTTATTATACGTCCAATAGCAATTTACCAGACAATAATTACTCAATACTAATATATAGTTAGTTGATACGTGACGAATAATTTTTCAAGACCATCAAATAATACAAGTCTGCCTAGCAATTTTAAATTGTACGGATCGAATACATGCTATGTGGAGTATCGGCTCGTCGCTGAGCTCTACGTCTTAGTAAATAAACTCTTCCACACTCAAGTCGTATTATACAACGTTAGGTATTTTCTCTTTTTATTTGTGTAGAAAGGGGGGGGGGGAGCAAAAATGGTCACTTGTGCGAGTGTATAATTCACTCTTAACCTTCAAATAATCTTTTTGATTTTCTATTTATTTGTTAGATTTGTTCTTATTGAACGTATTTGAATATACATAAATATTTATGACATATTTTAAAAACATGATGACTGTCGTATTAATAATACATCTGGAGCCATAATGTGAGAAAACAACAAATTTTTAATACAGGACAACCCTCGATTTTTCTTTCGGTGGTAGGCTATGATTTCGTCCCCCTCCGAAATGCCAGTATGCCACCGCTGAAAAAATATAACATATTATATACTTACCTATAACATAAGATATACTAAATATACCTACGGGTCACTCGCGTGACCATAAGCCACCGGAAGGCGACAACGCTAAAAGTATTTTTAAATCGATATGCGTATTTATTATATTTATACGGGACACGTCGTATGATGGGGGCACACGTCGCAAGTTATTTACGGCTAGACGAAAAATATACATCGTACACAGTTACCTTTGCGTCCATGATGGCCGTGGGGGCACGCGGATCCATCTCCTGGTGCCTTGAATTTTCCGAAAACGCCACCGCGGGGAACTGCCGACGGCCGACGAGAGCGTCGCGTGACTACTGCCGTTTCGGCGGCCGGCGGGGCACGATAAAGGGGTCCTTTGGAGAACGCGCGACCACGGCGACCACTGCGACGGCGGCGGCGGCGAACTGTTGCTCCTGTCTCTTTTGGCCTGCGCGCATCGCGTATCTGCGGCGGCGGCGGCGGCGGCGGCGCTGTCTGCGGTTCGCACACGGTTTGGACCGCGAACGACGATTATAATGCGTTTCCATTGCAGTAAAATAATAATATGGTATTTTATAATGAGAATGAAAATCTCCGGAAGATTTAGCGGCAACCGGAAGTCGGCCGCTGGTACTCGGTGTATAGGTATCCGCGTATAATGACGATGTCCGCCAGTGGCGGTCAAGCGCGTGACTGGGATTTTTTTTTTTTTAGACCGGTGTCTTTAATCTTATATTTGAATACAACATATGCGAAGGGCTTGACGCGCTTTCCATTTTATCCATCAATATTCAAATTAATAATAACGCATCAAAACGGAAATAGAATAACCATATGGCATCATAATTTATAGAAATCCTAATCATATTATTTAAGTAAGTTCATAATATATTTTTTTTGCATGGCTGACGCGGGAGTGTAAGAATGTTTCATACCCAAAACATCCCTTAGACACGCCACTGGTGGCGCGTGCGAGAGACGGGGTTGTCGCAGTTTTTCGGAGTAATAATACAAAATATAAAATGAAGTAACGTCCATGGTACCTACGCATGTAATTACAAGTTACAACTCCGCGGGCTCTCCGGAATTCTTCGTAGGTAAACGACTAGTATATTTATATTGGCTATAATAAATATAATAAATATTAATTATTGGCTATAACAATATTATTGTACAGTGTACTAACTTACCTGTACTTATATACGAGCCTGATGTATTTATATGTACTAAAATTTGTATACTTATGTACAATATCCATGATTTTTTTTTTCATTTTTCTTTGATAACTTATCCGATATAATATTGTGTATTTATAATATAAAAATAGATTTCCCAATAAAACATATATTTCATGGTCCGATACATTTTTTTAACATAAAAATTGGTAAAATTATGTAAGCATCAAATATAATGTCATAATTTTCTACTCCTTGTGTGATATAGGTATAACACAAATACAATAATACATATACAATATAACATATAATAAACGTGTCAATTC